ACTTCCACAGCTTTATGTCATTTCTTTATTGTTTCTCCAAACTTTCACAGGCTGGAAACAATCTATTCCACATTTACCACAGAGACCTCTTTTTATATCATAAAACTGTAACCAGCCAAAGTCTGTGGCATCAGATGTGAATCTGACTCTTCATTACTGAGCCTCCAGGTTAGCTCTGGGTGATGCTTTGCTTTCTTCTCACTCATTTCCCAAAAAGTTAACTGACGTGCAGTCTCCCCACCAATTCAAAACTGGGCATTTAGCCACCTGTTTCCCTTCACATGGGATCTTACTGGTCTACTTGGGGTTTTTCACCAGCTTCAAAGCTCTGTCTCAACATTCAGATGCCTAGACTGTCTCCTTCATGAACCTAATATTTAAAACATTTCCACGGAAAAAGGGCATGTTGTCTTGCACTTAACTTCAACATTGGGAATATCATTGTGTAGTTTTCACTTAATTCTTGGGTAGCTTGAGGCATATAGTAATGATATAATACTTCCACACATCTAGTTTAGTTTGGAATAGTAGCTGAATAAGCATGCCTTAAAGGAATAAGAGAATGTAGTCTCATAATGAAAATAATGAGGGGAAAAAAAAGGCAGTGAAATGTTAATACGGGTGTGGAGGTCATCTGAGAAGAATGTTTCTCATATTCTGTATTAGGGGTGGGAATATAGTTTAAAAAGACAAATAAAATATAATAAATAAAACATAAAAGAAAATATCAGAGTTCATCATACATAGTAAGGGTACATGCCACTTAATTTTATGGTTTGTGTAGTTCAGGTGTGTGTGTGTGTGCATACATGTGTATTTACATGTCTTTGCACACACATGTAGGATCACAATTTAAGGTATACTTATGCATAGCCCTGCAGTGAAGTAGAGTTTTAAAAGAATTCAATGAATATTAAATTGCCAAAACTTGAAAATAAAATCCTATCACAGAAGAATTTTCAAAATTGTGGAAGAAGCACTATTTAATTTGATATGATATAAAGAATATGTATTTCAAACACAACACCTTCTTTAAGAACAAAATTAAAAAGTAATGGAGAGACAATCTTAATGACATATTTGTGAACTAATGATAATTTTTTAAAACTACACTGTTTACAGTGTAGTTGGTGAAATCAGCATTAATACCTTATTTGAAAGAATGAAATGAAGAGCAGCAACAAAATCTCTCTGATGCCACTATGCAATACTAAAGGCCTTACACAGAAAACTTACAATCAAGTAAATGACTGACCCACAAATGTATTCAGACTCACAAAATAAAAACCTTTATCATACCTTTCTACAATATTAAATAGGATTTTCTTGGTATGTGACAAGGAAGCAGATACTGTCTATATGCTGAGTGACTGCGAGGTAATGTTTGCAAGCAAAGAAGTCCTTGGTATTAATTGTTCTCATCAATATTCAAACACATTTGCATAAAATTTTCCCTATAGTAAAAGTTTTTCAAATGCTCTCAATTTAGTTGATATTGTTCCATACCAAGTATTTTATTTTCTACCCTGAAATGCAAAATCAGTCATTTCTACTTTTATTGAAAACACTTTGAGCAGCCATTCTTTCTTCTAATTGAACTTCCTTGTAACATTTATGCCAGCAATAACCCCTAACTTGCTTAGTTGAAGACAACCCCTAAGTTGCTTTCTCTTTTTAGTAAAAACAATGATTACATTAACTCAATAAACAAGACATGAAGAAGCATAGCATAGTCATAATGCCTCTCAGGTGATCACAGACAAATGCTCTTAACCCACTGTCCCCATGCTGCTATCCAAATGTACTGAGCTGTTAGACTTACCGTGGTGGGATTTCTGAGAGAAAGGACTCTCTGTGGATATCTGAATTCTTCCTTGGCTGGTAGATGGAGACTGAAACTCAGATAAGTGAAGAGAAATGAATGAAGCACTAACTTTCTTTTAGGAACTAAAAGAAACAAACCAAAAAGAAGCAAACAATAAAACATGCCGAGTTCATCCAAAGTTACAAACACAGAGACTGTGAGATACTGTCAGCTCCCTATATCTGCTCATTAGGCATATTTATGTCTTGGCTCTGACCTCTACACACTTGGTTTCCCTTTGGGACACTGATCTTGACAGAAAGGAAAAATTTCCTACTGATTCTTTGTTACCAAGAGACCAGGCTAGAAGTCAAGTTTTATTTTTAAAACTTTCTCTATGAGCTCTCCATACTCACAGAGGTCTAAATTATCTCAATGTTGAGTTAAAGTGTTTTTAAATTTTATTTTATTATAATAGTTTATTTTCACATCATTTTGTGCCTTTTATTTGAGTTAAAGTTTTATCAAGTCAAAACTGAGAAGGCATTGAATTTTGATGGGAACTCAGCTCATGTTTTTTTCTTTTTTCTGAGTTCCTCTGATATAAAAACTTGGGCACAAACTCCATGCATTTATGATACTTTTGCTATAGCAAATAGTAATTTCATTCTCATATCACAAGAGATGTTCTTTCCTTACTTCACATGTCTGTTAATGATGGAATATATACCTAGACTTTTTTTTTTTTTAAGATTTATTTATTTATTCATACAGAACTGGGGTACAGGCCAGAGGCTCAGGGGCAGTGAGAGGCTTCACCAGAGACAGAGTGGGGAACAGAACAGGCAGAGTGACAAAGTACACTGCTGAAGGGAGCAACGGGAGGGCCAGGAGAGGTCTGCCACACCATGTGATCACCTCCGGGGCAGGCGGGAATCGAACTCATGCGAAAGTGGCTTTAGCTTCTCAGTGCTGTGCCTTTACCCCCTGCGCCACCAGGGAGGGCCTATACCTAGACTTTTTAAATGTACTGTAACTTGACCTTAACAACTTACAGGTATTGTCTGATTTATCAGCCCATTGTATGAGATAGTAATATAATGAATTCCATTCTCCAGTGTAGAAATGAAGCTTGGAGAGGATTAAGATGGGGTCTTCACTGAAATTTGTTAGGATGTTCTCAAATTCTGGGGCAGTAGCTCTCAGCACAGAAGTAGAAGTGAACTAGCTTGAGTAGATATTTGACAATATTTGTGTGGATGCTCTAAAAATCCTGAAATACACAGGATAGCTCCTAATACAAATATTATCCTACCCTAAATTTCAATAGTCAGAAGCTGAAAAAACCAACCTATCAAGCACATCTCCAATTTCCATGTGGGTAGAAACTATCCAGATTCTTAGAATAAATGCAGATTCTGATTCAGTAGGTGCTGGTGGGCCTAACAACCTGCATTTCTAGCAAACTCTCAGTGACAAGACTGTTCTGTTAAGGCTCTGTTAAGAGCAATGTGTAGGTAGAATTAGTTCTTATCAGTCAAAAATAATTTTTGCATATAATTTTGAAGGATTACTATATTTGTTGATCATCCAGAGGCAGTGATAAATTGTTTTACACAAAGACCCTTGAATGTCAGCAAATTATTCATTTTTGAAAAAGAAATAACTGCATAAATTGCTCCAAAGATATCTCCATCCCAATCCCCATTACTGTTGAATATGTAATATTTTTGTAGCATGGAAGGATTAAGTCATCAAATGAAAATAAATTACCTGACTTTGAGAAGATTAATCATCATTAGCCAAGTTGGATAAAGGTAATTGCACTGGTTGTATCAACCTTGGGGCAGGAGGGAGAAGAGTAAATGTCAGAGATAGATCTGAAATTACTATGCTGCTGACTTGAGGTTGCATGAATGGCCATGAACTAAAGCATATATGTGGGCACTACAAACTGAAATAGGAAAATTAATGGATATTCCCTTATGTCTCCAGGAAAAACCCAATTATTATTATTATTTTAAAAGATTTATTTATTTATGCATACAGAACTGGGGTACAGGCCAGAGATGCACGGGTGGTGAGAGGATTCACCAGGGACAGAGTGGGGAGCAGAACAGGCAGATTGACAAAGCACACTGCTGAGGGGAGCAGCGAGCGGGTCAGGAGAGGTCTGTTGCCCCATGTGTCACCTCCAGGCAGGGATCAAACTCATGCTGAAGTGCTTTAGCTTCTTAGTGCTGTGCTTTAACCTGCTGCGCCACCAGGGAGGCCCCAAAAACCCAACTCTTAAAGCATCTTTTAGAGTAATGTTTTTGTTCAGGTAACATTGAATTAAAATTTATCTAAGTTTTAGGCACGCGTCATTATTAATAAACACCTGCATATATGATTGTGAGCTCACCGCTAGAAGACAAATTCTACCCTCCACTTTTTATTGGTCAGTAGACCCATTTCAAGTTCTTACTACCAGAAAAGTAAAAGTATAAATTTGTTTTTTTAAAGTCATCAGTATGTAAATATTTTATTGAAGTGTCATTGTTTTACATCCTTGTTAGTGTTTTGATAGGATTGTACAGGACCTTGGGTGTGGTCATGGTAGCCCACTCACCACCAACTCCTCATTGTGCTCTTGCCCTCCCTGTTCTCAATGATTCCCTTCCCCCTATGATGCCTCAGGTCTATGGTCAGGTTCCAAGTGCTGGCTTTAAAGTTTGCCTTTATCTGACCTTTTATTTAGTTTCTCTATAGTCGACATATAAGTGACACCATCTGTCATTTATCTTTAACTGTTGGTTTATTTCATATAGCATAATCTCTTTCAGCTCCATCTATATTGTTGTTAATGGTGTAAATGTATCTTTTCTGATTGCTCAGTAGTATTTTATTGTGTGTGTATATACCACATATTTTGATATGGGCTATTCTCATTGGTAGGTGATACCTCCTGGTATTTTGCATTTGCATTTCCCTGATGATAAGTAATGATGAATATTTTTTCATGTGCCCATAGGCCACTTGAATGTCTTCTTTGGGTAAATGCCTATTTATTTCTTTTACCCATTTTTTCATTAGGTTATTTGTTTTCTTTTTGTTGAGTTGTATGAACTCTTTGTAGATTTTTGATATCAGTCCCTTGTCAGATGTATATATACTCCCATTTAGTAGGATGTCTGTTTATTTTAATTATGGTCTCTTAAGTCTTTTCAGTTTGAACTGATTTTTGTGTTAGGTGTGAGATAGTGGTCTAACGACATTATTTTGCAAGTTGCAGTCCAATTTTTCCACACCTATTATTGAAGAGGTTTTCCATTTGTTCCAGTGTATATTCTTCAATATTCTATAACATATATTAGGTGTCCATATATGTCTGGGCATAAGAGGCTTTATGTTTGGGCTCTCAGTTCTATTATTGGTTTTTCTATGTTTTTGTCCCAGTAGACATATATAGAACAGACTACACCAAACTGCAATGTAATGTGCATTCTTATGTGTACATGGAATATTTTCTAGGACAGATCACATTAGGTCACAAAGGAGTACTAATAAGTTTAAAACGTTGAAAACATAAAAACATGTTTTCTGACCTTGAATGAAACTAGAAATTCTTGCAAAAGAGAAGTGGAAAGTTTAGAAGTGTGTGTGTGTATTTGAAAGCATGGTTTTTGAAAATGGGTCAAGAAATCAAAATGAAAATTAAAAAGTATCCTGACACAAATTAAAAGTGTTCAAAACTTATATGGTACATAAAAGAGGCACTAGGAAAGAAGTTTGTAGCAATATAATACCTGTCTTTATTGAGATGAGGTATTGAAATAAACAGTCTAAAGTTATACATGATGGAGCTAGAAATAAATTAACTTCCTTACTCCAAATTTGTATTTGGAAAGACCTAATTAAGATTAGAACAAGTAAATGAAATAGAGGAAAAAATGCAAAATCAATGAAGCACAGAGCTGAATTTTGAAATGGTCAACAAAAAAACCAAGAACTTTAGTTACATTAAGAAAAAAAGAGAAGGCTGAAATAAAAGTAGAAATTAAGGAGATTTTTCAACTGATATCACAGAAATAATAAAAAAAGAGAGATCACTAAGAACAAAGTACACACCAGCAAATTAAATAGCTTGGTATAAATATAAAAAGACTTAGAAATATACAACCTACCAAGACAGTATTGTGACATCTCATCTTGGTATAATGTAACAGACAACCTCATGAAGAAATGAAACACCTGAATATGTGAATAACTCATGTTTTGATCAGTAACCAAAAACATACAAGTAAAGGAAATCCCAGGACAAGGTTGCTTCACTACTGGTTTATAACAATTATTTAATTAATTCATATTAAATCTTCTCAAAATTCCCCCCAAAATATTGAAGATGGAAAAATATTTGATACAAATAATATGGTCAGCATCACCCAGATTTCAAGCCAGACAAACACATTAAAAAAACAAAAAATTACAAATCATCATCTCTAATGTACATAGATGCAGAAAACTTAAAAAAAAAATACTAGCAAATTGATCTCAAGGGCATACTACTAGAATTATACAACATGGTCCAGTGGAATTTAAATCCTGGAAAACCAATGATGATTTCAACATACAAAATTCACATTAAAAAATGAAGGATAAGGCCCTCCCTGGTGGTGCAGCAGGTTAAAGCACAGCACTAAGAAGCTAAAGCCACTTTTCATGAGTTTGATTCTCGCCTGCCCGGGAGGTGACCATATGGCGTGGCAGACCTCTCCTGACCCTCCCGCTGCTCCCCTCAGCAGTGTACTTTGTGGATCTGCCTGTTCCGTTCCCCACTCTGTCTCTGGTGAAGCCTCTCGCTGCCCCTGAGCCTCTGGCCTGTACCCCAGTTCTGTATGCACAAATAATAAATCTTTTAGAAAAAAAAAGAAGGATAAAAATCTTATCTTCAGCTCGATAGATGTAGAAAAAGTATTTGGAAAAAATTCAACATGATTTCATGAAAAAAAAATTCTCAACAAACAAGTAGTAGAGATAAATCACATCAAAGTAATAAGCCATTTATGAACAGGCCACAGCTAATATCATACTCAAATGGGAAGAGAAAAATTTTCCTTTAGATCCGTAACAAAGAATGGACACATTTGCTACTTCTACTCAACATATTACTGAAAGTCTTAGTTACAACAATTAGGAAAGTATAAAAATCAAAATGCCCAATTCAGAAAGATAACATTGTCCGTATTTACAATTCTGAAGGCTATCTTAAAAAATCATTAGAAATAGAAATATAATGACATTATATGTATGGATACAATAGAAAAATACATAACTGATTAGTTTTATTAAATTTTACTTTAAAAAAGTGTTTATTTCGTGTAAAGTAGCCAACTTTTGGCATAATGTTTTATAGTAATTTCTTATTATACTTTTAATATCTGATAATTTTTGCTAACCTCACTTATACTGTTTGTGTTTTTTCTCTTTTTTAAACTTAATCTTTTTTGACTGATCTTTTTATTAATAGTCTTAAGGAATTAAATTGTGGCTCCTTTTGCTGTTGTTTCTTATATATTCTTAGATTTATCTTTGTTACTTCTCTTCTTCAGTGTACTCTGAGTCATTTGCTATTTTTTCTTAGCTTCTTATTGATTAAAATTGATTTAAACATTTCTTCATTACTAACACAGGGTTCTAAGCTATAAATATTCTTGTAAAAACTTCTTTAGCTGCATCCCATAAAAAAGGATGGGATGACAAACTATTTTCATTACTATTCCACTTGATATAACATGTTCTTAATTGTTGGGATGGCACTGCTGAATAATTTTATTTTTAATACTCTCACTCAGAGAACTTAAATATCGTAGAGACCATATACAATTATAACAAAGTTTTATAAAGATTACCAATATACAGCAATGCAGAATGAAAATACTGACTCAAGGTTTATAAAGGAAAGCTCAATTTTAATAAACATGATAATAACATACAAAACTTAAGTTCTATATCTTTGCTCTGTCCCTAGGGTTTTATATTTCATTACCATTCTGCCATGAAAAATAAAAGCCATTTTGGAAACATGGCTAATGCCATTTAGTTTCTCCCAAGTTATGTCCTCTTCTAAGCGGGGAAGGAAAAACCTGAAACATTGAAAAAAAAGTGGAGACAACAAAAAGAGGAGTATATAAAAACAAACTAAAAACAATTTTAGAGGATATATAAAATATTTATTTCAGGCACATAGGGATAAAAATGATACTTGGACAAACCAAAAGTGAAGATTTCCAGATGAATATGCTGATCTTGGTTACGCATGTCTGCTTCTAGAACCCCACAACAAATGTTTCTGCTACTCATTGGAAATAACTCTGCTACTTTAGACATTCGAAGGGGAAGAGGAGAGGGCAGAGGCGAAGCACAAAGTGGGGAGGGAACACAATGATGATGATGGTGGACTATGCAGGCCATGGTGGAGGGGGAATCTATGCAGCCCTGGAAGGGGGAGTCCGAGGCTTCCAAATTATAAACAATGAGTGTCATTATAAACAATGTAAACCAATGTTGCCTTAATTGAAAAAAAAAACTTCAAAAATATGAAAGAGATTTTTTGGAATAAATACATCTTTGATCCTGGTAAAGAAAAAAAGAAATATCACTTTTTTTGGAGAACAGTTACACTGTAAGTAGTTGTGTACCAGGGAAAATGCACTTTGGTTTCTCAAGAGGAGACTATGGTTTTTTAACTTTCTCCTAAGTAATACAAAATATCTTTTTTAAAATTTTATTTTTTAAATTTATTTTCACATCATTCTTCATTTTGTGCCTTTCCCACCTCAGTTGTAATCCCCGTGGACT